TTCCTGTTTCTTATTGCCCCCGTTGGATGGTATCTGAACCCAGAGCTAATTCCTGTCTTCCATCCCTGTTTTGCTCCATCCCTGCTACTAATAGACTTCTGAAGGTATCTGCCCACTCCTGTTTCCAAAGCAAGCCAGGGCAGGACCTGGCTACATGGGGAAGATGGAACAGGGTTTTCCCCAAAAATCCTTAGGAACCAGGACAAAGCTCTTGGTTTAAAGGTCAACGTATGTCCCCATCCTCACCTATGGTCATGAACTTTGGGTAATGACAGAAAGGATGAGATCGCGGGTACAAGCGGCGGAAATGAGGTTTCTCCGCAGGGTGGGTGGGCTTACTCTCCAAGATAGGGTGAGGGGCTCGGCTATTCAGGAGAACCATAGAGTAGAGCTGCTACTCCTCCGGATTGAGAGGAGCTAGTTGAGGTGGTTTGGGCACCTGATAAAGATGCCCGCTGGGAGGCCTCCTTTGGAACTCTACTGAGCACATCCCACTGGGAGGAGGCTCTGAGGCCGACCCAGCACATGCTGGAAGGATTATATCTCCCTGCTGGCCTGGGAACGCTGGGGAATCCCCCAGAAGCAGCTGACACCTGTTGTGGAGGAAAGGGAGATCTGGTCCTCCCTACTCTCCATGCTGGCCGCCATGACACTCACCAGGAAAAGCGGCATAAAGAAAAAAGAAGAAAGAAGAAGAAGCTTCTGTACCAGATGACTGGAAGGTAGCTAATGTCAGGCCAATTTATAAAAAGGGCTTGATAGGAGATGCTGGCAATTACAGGCTGGTGAGCCTAACTTCAGTACCGGGTAAACTATAATAAGGAACAGAATTATCCAACACATAAATGGACATGGTTTGTTGGGGAAGTGTCAACACGGTTTTTGTAAAGGGAAATCATGCCTCACCAAGCTATTAGAAGTCTTTGAGGGAGTCAACAAACATGTGGATAAGGGTGATCCAGTTGATACAGCGTACTTGGATTTTCAGAAAGCCGCTGAGAAATTCCATTACCAAAGACTCTTAAGGAAAGTAAGCAGCCATGGGATAAGAGGGAAGGTCCTTTCATGAATCAGTAACTGGTTGAAAGATAGGAAACAAAGGTTAGGAATAAACAGTCACAATGGTGAGAGATGAACAGCGGGGTCCCCCAAGGATCTGTACTGGAATCTGTGTTGTTCAACATATTCATTAATATTCATTAACAGTCTGGAAAAGGGGATGAAAAGTAAAGTGGCAAAGTTTGCAGATGATAACTATCTTGAATAATTTTGTAAGCCCAAAGCAGATTGCTAGGAGTCGCAAAGGGATCTCACAAAACTAGGTGACTAGGCAACAAAATGACAGATGAAATTCAACATTGATAAGTGCAAAGTAATGCACAATGGAAAAAATAACCCCAACTCTATAAATACTATGATGGGTTATACATTAGCCGTTATCACCCAAGAAAGAGATCTTGGAGTCACCGTGGACAGTTCTCTGAAAACTTTCACTCAATGCGCAGCAGCGGTCAAAAAGACTAACAGTAAGTTAGGAACTTTTAGGAAAAGGATAGATAATGAGACTGAAAATATCATAATGCCGCTATATAAATCCATGGTGAGCCCACACCTTGAATACTGTGTCCAGTTCTGGTCATCCCACCTCAAAAAAGGATATAGTGGAATTGGAAAAGATTCAGAGAAGGGCAACAAAGATGATCAAGGGTATGGAACGGCTTCCCTACATGGAGACACTAAAAAGATTAGGGTTGCTCAGCTGAGAAAAGAGAATGAAGGGGCATATGATAAAGGTCTATAAAATCATGAATGGTAGGGAAAAAGTGAATAGAGAAGTGTTTTCCCTTACACACAATACAAAAACCAGGGGTCATCCAATGAAATTAACAGGCAGCAAGAGGAAGTAATTTCTCACACAATGCACAATTAACCTGTGGAACTTGTTGTCATGGGATGTTGTGATGGCCAAAAGTATAACTGGGTTGAAAAAAGAACTAGATAAACTAGATGGAGGATAAGTCTATCAATGGTTATTAGTCAAGATGGTCAGGGATTCCACCCCATGTTTGGAGCAACCCTAAACTTCTGACTACCAGAAGCGGAAGATAAGTGGATCACTCCTTAATTGCCCTGTTCTGTACACCCACCCCGAAGCTCTGGCATAGGCCACTGATGGAGACAGGATACTGGGCAAGATGGACCGTGGTCTGACCCAGTATGGCAGCTCTTATGTTACAGTTAATATCTCAACGAAACTATGATGTACACCTCTACCCCGATATAACGTGACCTGTTATAACACGAATTCGGATAGAACATGGTAAAGCAGTGCTTCAGCGGATCAAAGCAAGTTTGATATAATGCGGTTTCACCTATAACATAGTAAGATTTTTTGGCTCCCGAAGACAGCATTATATTGGGGTAGAGGTGTATCTCAATGACTGATATTTTTGAGCCAACAGGGACTTCTCACTTGGTCTGTTTTTGAAGATTGAGCTATTTAATAGCATTTCGGTTATAAACCTCAGAAATATGTTGTGCTTAACAAAAAAAAATAAGAGGAGCAGGTTCACAGAACAGCTATAGATCATCAAGGATAAATATAACTCATCTAAATTTAGTTGGTATTTGGTCATTTAAAATGCCTGGAAAAACAACACGTTAATGCAGAATAAAGCATGAAGCTATAACATACTGTACTGTGTGAGACAAGGCCCCACATTTTTTTTCCTTTTTAGATAATGCGGAACATCTGAATGATGCCACTGGAGTAATATTTAGAAGACCCAGTATTTGTTCAATTAGTTTTCTGTCTAGTCCCAGAGTAGGCTGTGTGCTATTCTGAGAAAAGAGACTAATTGAATGGAGATGTCATTACATTAAAATACTATTTCATCCTTATTTGATTTATAGGAGTATGTCCTCCAATAAAGGTCATTGGGCATGGATGTAATGTCACCACACACACAAATAAAATCCCACCTTTTTTCAGAGGTGCAGAAAGACACCCCCCCCCCCTACAAATAACCAGCCTTCTCTCAACTCTCTCATCAGCTCCCCATCCTGCAGACAACTGCCCTGGAGGATATACTAGCCTTAGGCTGTCAGTACGCTCCACTTCTGTCAGAACAGCAGGGGCAGCAAGTCACAGAGCATATCAAGGCCACCCTGCCAAGCATATCCACTCTCCTGAAAACTTAGCACGAGCACCTCAGCTGACCTTAGCCGCTTTGGTGGGCTGTTAGAGCCCATGCCAGAGAGAAGTAAAATTTCCACAGCACCTTATATCCTCAATCTCTAAGGGTGAAATCTTGGTCCTATTGCAGTGATGGGGAGTTCTGCAATTGATTTCACCGAGATCAGGATTTCACCCATAGCGTTCAATGGATATACGATACTATACAAGTTTTACTTCTCTCTGGCCTGGACTCTATCAGAAGAAGATTGTTTACTGACAATCAATTAACTTTGCAACAGCAGCGTGAAGTAGGTTATTATACCCAGTTCTTCAGTGGGCAAACTGAGGCAAGAATGCCTCTTGCCCGGGGTCACACAGCAAATATGCAGTAGAGACCACACTAGCACCCAAGTCACCCCATCCTGTTCTCTAAGTCAGAGATTTCAAACACCTGACTTGTGGGCTACATCCAGCCCGTGTGATGTATTTCTGAGGATGCCATTGAACATTCAATTCTTCAGAACCAAAGCGTTTATTAAAAAATAAAGGTTTCTCTCCCCCGTGGTTACGAAGATAACCTTCCTAATGTGCTCTGCGTGGTAAGCTGACACACTGCTGTCTTTCTGAGGCCTGCTAAATGCTCAGTTTTTACACCAATTTCATTCAATCGGGAGAAGCACAGACTTAATCAGTGCAACGCAGCTATAGTGAGGGCTTGTCTTCACTACCGGGGTAAGTCGACCTAAGGTACGCTACTCCAGCTACGTGAATAATGTAGCTGGAATTGATGTAGCTTAGGTTGACTTACCCTGGTGTCTTCACTGTGCTGCGTTGCTGGGAGACGCTCTCCAGTCAACTTCACTATTCAAGCTCCCCAAGAAGAGTAAGATGGGCCGACTAGAGAGCACTCTGCTGTCGATTTAGTGGGTCTTCAATAGACCCGCTAAATTGACACCCGCTGCATCAATTGCAGCAGTGTAGATCTCCCCGGTAATGAAGATAAGCCCTGAGAGAAACACCTTTGTGTCAACAGAATGACGCCGACACATGGGGAGGGGGACCCACCGGTTTAATCTAACAATTAACTTAAATCATTGTGAAAGCTTAGTGTAGACCAGACCCGCGTATGCAGAGAGACTGAAACAGTAGCACTGGTAGGTGTGAATTCTCACATCCCCTAAATCTCAGGGGGTGTTAACACTGAAGGCTAATGACAACACTGCAATATCATCAACTATTCAATTGCTGATTACTTTCACAGCTGAAAAAGGGGAGGTGTTGGGAGCGAAAGTATGGTAAGCACGGAGAGTTCTGCAGGGAAGAAGATGCAGAGGGAAGAAGAGAGGAAGCACACAAATACAGGGAAAAGGGATAGAAACAGAGAAAGGAGGATGGGGAAGGAAGAGAAACAAAGAACAGGAACAGCACTGGCCTAAATGGAAACAGATTTCCCCATTGAGCGATGCTGGATGTGATCATAAGGTCCTGGACAAATAACAGATAATGATAATAATTAAGTTATTACATAAAAGTCATGTCCCAGCCTGGATCTCTGTGCCAACCTCTCATTGACCACCTTCAGGGGGGATGGAGGAGTGTATGTATCTTAAATGTACATCCTAACTCGTTCTCCAGAATTCAAATGGAATCCAGCTTTCTCCAAACAGTGATTTGGACTCTCCAGCACTGACCACAAAACATTGCCCAACTGGGTGTCTGGCAAGCACACGGAAGGTGGAACATGTGAAACAAAGTCTAGTGGATTGAAGCTGTGACAGAGTTTTATGAGACTCCATTAGGTCAAGAGAAAAGATTTCCATACCCAGCCATCACTTCCAGATGGAGTTGTCCAGAGACCGTCAGGAAGGCAGGAACATTGAAGAAATGGGAGTTTTCCCCAGGTTTCTGTACTTTATCTGATGTCTGTAAGTCAAGAACGCACAACATGCCAGACTATTAAACGACAATTAAGGATCATGGCTCCTAATTTATCATTCATGCCCCTCCTCTGAAAATTACAGGTGCTTCAATCCAAATGAAAAAAAGAACAGGACTTGTCCCATGCTTCCCAAGGTCCCATGCTTCCAGGAGTAAAGCCATACACCAGGGGCTTGTCTACACCAGGAGCATTGTCAAATTGGTTTTAAAAGTAGTTCAAGGTGAGTCCATTTCAAAATCAGTTTGGGGCCTTTTCTAACTTGGCAATTACCTCCTGTTTCCACAGCTGCACCATGCAAACCCCTAATGTAGACAGGGAAAGCCATGATTTGCATGAGAACCTGGGGCTAATCTCCAGTCTAGACAGGGCCTCAGCGTGATTTAAGATGTCACTGAAGTAGTCTACAGAACATCTGTAGGGGGAGGGGGAGAGAAACCAACTCCAAAGTTGGAAATATACCAAAAAGAGATTCTTCATGGTCTCTTGAGGAGCATTTAGACCAGAGGTGGGAAAACTTTTTGGCCCGAGGGCCACATCTGTGTATGGAAATTGTATGGCGGGCCATGAATGCTCACGAAATTGGGGGTTGGGGTGCGGGAGAGGGTGAAGGCTCCGGCTGGGGGTGCAGGGTCTGGGGTGGGGCTGGGGATGAGAGGTTGGAAGTACAGGAGGGTGCTCTGGGCTGAGACCGAGGAGTTTGGAGGGTGATCAGGGCTGGGAAAGGGGGTTGGGGCACCATAGGTGGTCGGGGTGCAGGCTCTGGGAGGCGCTTACCTCAAGCAGCTCCCAGAAGCAGTGGCATGTCCCCCCCATGGCTCCTACGTGGAGGCATGGCCAGGCAGCTCTGCGCGCTGCCCATCCACAGGTGCCGTCCCTACAGCTCCCATTGGCCACAGTTCCTGGCCAATGGAAGCTGCGGGGGCCGCGCTTGGGCCAGGGGCAGTGTGGGGAGCCCCCTGGCTGCCCCTACGCGTAGGAACCGGAGAAAAAACATGCTGCTGCTTCCAGGAGCTGCACGGAGCGGGACAAGCCCCTGACCCTGCTCCCCAGCGGGAGCTCGAGGGCTGGATTAAAACATATGGAGGGCCGGATGCAGCCCTCAACAGTAGTTTGCCCACCCCTGATTTAGACAGTAGTTGCATGTCAATGTATTTAAGTCATTAACTAGTTATAAATTGCATATATGGGAGAGTGGAGAGGGACACATGATTTATGGATGCCTGCCTAGGTTCCCTGTAAGCTGTGTAGCTGTGCAGCCGAGCAGCAGGCTATGTAGGGCCATGCAGGTCCCCTGGCCCAGCCCCTCCAGAGCAGCCGGGGAGAGGCACCTCTCCTCCTGCCCAGCCCAGCCGGATCGAGGAGCCCTTCCCCCAGCCCAGCCCTGCCAGAGCTGCTGGGGAAAGGAGCCTTCCCCCGGCCCGGCCCGGCCGGATCTGCCGTGGCAGGGAGAGGCACTCCTTCTCCCCAGCCGCGGTGCTGCTGTGGGAAGAGACAGCTGGGGGAGTCCTCTTTCTCCACCATAGCCCTGGGACAGCCTGCACCCCAAGCCCCTCATCCCCAGCCCCACCCCAAAGCCCACACCCTCCCCGCACCCCCACCCTCTGCCCTAGCCCTGAGCACCCGCCCACATCCCAATCCCAAAGCACGCATCCCCAGCTGGAGCCCTCACCCCTCCACACACACCCCAACCCTCTGCCCCAGCTCTGAATCCTCTCCCACACTCTGAACCCCTCGGCCCTACCCCGCCACATGAATTTTGTTGTGCACCAATATGGAGGCGATGTGTAATTCTGCACATGGGTGGGAAAAAGTAGAGGGAACACTGGACTGCCTGTTTATATAAACCACGAAACATGGTTTATAACAAATACACATTCCTATTCCCAACCCCCCACCCCAGCAACAGAATGAACTGCATTATAAACAATTTTCTGTAAGACAACAGTGTGTTCAGCTATTAGAAAAGTACGCAGAAAACTATGCCCCTCCCAATCTTGCACGTGTCTAAATACTCACATGAACAGTCCCATCAAAATCAACGGGATTAATCAGATGAGTCAATTTATGCATGTGCTTAAGCGTTTACAGGATTGGTGCATTATAAGCACATGACTAGGCCAAATTTTGGTAGAGGCCTGGTTCCCGCTGACTTCAATGGTAGGATACATATCAAGTGCAGGATATGGCCCTTAATACTTTGTTGCATACCTACGGTTATTATATGGCTCTGAAATAATTTACTAATGTGGTAAAAGAAAGCAAAAAGACAGACAAGGGGAAAAAGCCATTGAGTGCACCTGAAAGGAGCTAGGGAGGAAGGTCTTGCGGATAATGCACTGCACTGGGACTCAGGAGAACTGGGTCTAGCTCCCTGGCTCTGCCAAAGATGCCTGGCATGACCTTGGATGAGTCACAATCTCTCTGTGCCTCAGTCTCTCATTTGTACAATGGGAAGAAGAGCACTTCCTTTGTCGTGTAAGACCAAGTTCTTCAGGACACGGACCAACTCTTACTAGGTGTACAGCACAGTGGGGCCTTGATTGTTGCTGGTGCCTCCAAGCATTACTGTAATGCAAATAGCAATAATAAAGAAATTTACTTTGTAACAGAAATGGGGGATGCATATTTATATGCCACTGTGGGGCCCTTGGAGAAAGCTAAAAATATGCAATTCTTCTTATTTCAGTTATACAGGCCTGTAGGACTAGAAGTGGGTTAGCAACTCTGAATTTTGCTTGAAGTGTATGTAAATGGTCATGTAATTTAAGTGTATGTTATTGCAAGAGAGCATAACTTACATTGTGAGGCAATCAAAAGGCAGGGTTATAGTAGGAAGGGCAACAGAAGAGTATAACAAGGTGCAATGTAAAGCACAGGGAGGGAGTGCCTCTACTCAGCCCGTTTTACAGATGGGGAAACTGAGACACAAAGAGGCGGAAGCCTGAATTTTCAGTGGTAACCTAATTTCAGGAGCTCAGACTGGGACACTTAAGGCCTGAATTTCAGAGGAGCTGACCACACACAGCTAATTGGAGCTGTATGTTCAGAACCACTGGAGGTGGGGAGTGGAAATCAGTTCCTAAGTTTTTAAGAAACGGAGGCATCCAAAATAAAGGCTTTGAATGACTTGAAAAGCTGTACAGGACAACAAACCCAGACTGTCCAATCCAGTCCTGAACCTTAAGCACAAGTTCATTCTTCTCCACAGAGATCATGGAAAATAAAATCTTTACGACTTTCTACCATTAGAATATCTTTGGTTTCACACATCACTGCCACAAAGGCTCAATTTTAAGTCTGATAAGAAAGCGTGTGTGTGTGTGTGTGTGCGAGGGGTGGGGGGGTGGGAATTTTCCATCTAAGGCAGGTGCCTCAAGTTTATTAAAAAAATTTTAATCAGTGCTATTTTCCTTTCACAGGGATATGAACTTGATTCTATCAGAAAAAGCACTACGGTAATGAGAAAAAAAGAAAATGGAATATTCTATCGAGTATTCATTGTTATTTTATGATTGGGAAAAAAAGACTGCAGCAATATGGAGATTACACATTATACAGGCACAGAGCCACAAATGACCTTTTCTTCCAGCTCTTGCGTATCTTTTCAGGTCATTGGACAATTTGCACACAAAGAAACACCCTGGAACATTTAGCTGGGCATAGACAACATTTTTATTGGGGGAGGGCCTAGAGTTAAAAAGAAAAGAAAAGCTGTTGGATATTGCTTTAATGAGTAGTTTTGTACCATGATTACATACGTCCACTCTTAATGAATGGAGAAATTATAATGGTTTCAAACTCAGTATTTCATTTATTAACGTAATCTCTAATTTTTTTGGGGGGTGGGGTGAGGTGAGGTGGGGGAGGAGGGGTTGTCTGCGCCCATGTAAAAAATTCAAGGTTTCTTATTAAAGATTCTTAGGTAAGATCTTCTCCCTCTACCCCCTTCCTCAAGTTTACTCACTAGATTTCTTCACTTTTTTTTTCCTCCTTCCTGATGAAGGCAGACGGTTTCCTCCCCTATTACTGAAGTTTATTTCATTCTAAAGTACAATATTCCTTCTCCAATGTCTCTTTGGAGCTTCTGTGCCTCATCCTAAGTGCTTGTGGTCATTAATGATTCTAGAGCACTTTTCACAAGATATGGGTGCTCTGGCTAAATTCCCTCTTGGTTGGTTACATTCTGTTCTACTTCAAATTTCTCCCGTAGTTGGGCACGGTGCTCTACACTTCCTGGACTGAACTGCTTTGTACTGTCGCTGTGCACCATGCAACAACTCACAAGTTTCACCCTAGCAGTGACCACACTTCGGTGAAAAAGCGAAGCAAGCCCGATTGAAGTAGTTTCATATCAGTTTGTGAAATACCTGGTGATCCTTAGGCACTAAAGTGACTGTGTAAACATAAGGTATCCCCCTGTACTGAGGCAGGATTAAGTATACCTAGACCATCCCTGTCAGGTATTTGTCTTAAAAACTCCTACTGACAGGGATTCCACAGCCTCCCTAGGTAACCTGTTCCAGTGCTTAACTAGACTTATAGTTAGAAAGATTTTCTTAATATCTAATATAAATCTCTCTTTGCTGAAAACTAACCCAAGTACTTCTTGTCCTTCCTTCGAGGGACATGGTAAACCATTGATCACTATCCTCTTTATAAAAAAGTTTATACATACACCTCTACCCCGATATAATGCCGTCCTCGGGAGCCAAAAAAATCTTACCGCGTTATAGGTGAAACCGCGTTATATTGAACTTGCTTTGATCTGCCAGAGCATGCAGCTCCGCCTTCACTGCGTTATATCCGAATTCGTGTTGTATCGGGTCGCGTTATATTGGGGTAGAGATGTATTTGAAGACTATGTCCCCTCACCGCCTTCTCTTCTCTAAAAACATTTCCATTTCTTTCCCCCTTTATGCATAGGTCATATTTATTAATTCTCTTATTTTTGTTGCTTTCCTCTGACTGTCCAATTTGTCCACAT